AATAAATTCGCAATTGACCTCCACATGCATGATTTGCTATGTCGGAGACTGATAAAATAGTAATAATTATAATGATTATTTCTAGTGCATTACACCAGATTTTTAAATAATCTTTAGTCAAGTTTGATTTATCTAGAGTTACTCCTTGTGTATAATAAAACCCATAGTTCGAACCCAATTTAATAAATTCCTAAATTGTTATACAAATTTATATTTTAAATGTTAACTTTTTATAATAATGAGTTGTCTTCCTTTCGACTGCGTTTAAGACAAAAGTTGTTATCTCCCATGTCCATTTTGACAATAGGCGTCTAAGAAAGACAACTCCACTTTGATCCAATATACCAATTAAATTATGAAATTTCATAATATTATGGTATTTCCTATTTGCCTCGACTGTTTCAACACTACAATTATATGATATCGTTATAAGTAGTGACCTATAAAGCCACATATTATCAGCTATAAATAAACACGCGAGATATATTATATTCATACATGTACAATGTGGGACGATCAGATATATTTATCATAGATAAACGCATTAAATTAAACAAACACGTTGTGCAGTATGTAAGTAATTTCATTTCAATTTTTTAAACTTTGAAACAAAGTCAATTCATATAAGACCGGTTCATCGGAAATAATTAGTACAACAAGTTGTTTAAAATAAGTTTACCTAAAAATACTACAATCGATAACATGTTTTATCATAAAAATCGTGGTTACCCTTCTATCGATAATTGTCATGCCAAAAAATGACTTGCATGTCCCTTCTTTCCACCAACAATACGGTAAGGTCCGTGTTTAATGGTCGCACATTTTCCTTAAATTTTGAAACTGATATAAATTGAAAAACTAACAGTATTCTCTATTTACTCACATGAAACAAACCGGGATGTGGTATTCAGTACGTAGGTGAAACTGGACGCTATTTATCTGAACGCACGCAAGAACACCTTTTTTGTTTAAAAGACCTCATAAATTCAAAAGTATCATTCATCAACACCTTAAGAAGCACAATCATTCTATTAAATATTTAACAGTTCAACCTTCGAAAGTAGTAACTAAGCAGCCTGGGGAATCTCATTCAAAGTTTGTACGATCACGGAAAATAAACAGTCTATCTTCTCGGTCTTAATGATAAATTCATGGGAATTGGTAATATATCAAGAACCGATTCTTTTAAGGTTTTAGATATAGTTTCTAAAATTGTTCGTAAAGACCGTTCCCATGGGCGTAGAATAAATAGCAATCAAAGAAAATTTCGTACCAACAATACAAATATTTCGGACCTAATTACTATTTCAAAAAACAACGGCAGACATTATCTGTTTACCAAGCTCTGTTCTTTACCAGTTAATAAATTATATCAAATTTTAGAGGATTGCAACACCATTCCATATAGCAGTCCTAAGTATGAAATCGTCCAGATTATAATTGCACATTGTTATTCTTAACTGTTTCCCAAAATTGATCGCCCAGAAATTCATAAAAATATTTTATTAAAATCAAATATGTCAATAAAGGTTTTGATTTTGTAAATATTGGCAGTATTTTTAATGATCATTCTGTTAAAGAACAAATTCCTGGCTATTTTGATAATACTGAACTCCCTCTTATTTGTTATGTTTACAAAAAATCTACCCGGAAATATGTGTTTAATTATAGCGAAGTGTGTATAGATGTTAATATCTATGACAATACACCTACGTCATGAGATTGCAGTAATTCCGAATACACGTATGGCCCTATATGCCATGATATAACCGGAGACCTTAACATCATTCATGACTGAGAGTTGAAATCATTCCTCAGTAAAGACCTAAATATCGTTCCCCGTCAATTATTAATTGGAATGAGTGTCGTAACATCATCCACAACTCACTCCATACTTACTGCTCGAAATAGATAAAACGAGAAAAAGCTGACAAGAAATCCTTAAATTCGTTTTTAATTCAGTAATGACCATAGTTGATATTCTTGTAAAACATTTTAAAGAACATTTAACTCCTAACAAAAATCATAATAGCCCTATTTCTCGTATCAATTATAAGCTAAAAGAACTTGCCATGGAATTTGTTTTTGTCCTGGCTGATAAGGCTGCTAATAATATCATTATTGTTTGACATAAATTTTACATTGAGGTTCTGCAAAAGGAAATCACGAATTCACCAACATTCCAACTGACTCCATTTTCGGAAAATGACATCTGTAACAAACATAAACCTTTAGCTACCTCTTTACAAGCAGAACCAAATACAATGAAAGTTCCAACTATGTACTGGCTTCCGAAGCTGCACACAACACCTTACAAATATATATTTATTTCATCTTCAAGCCATTGTTCCACTACTAAACTGTCTATTCTACTTACTAGTACCCTTGGTACAATCAAAAACCTGGTAATAAAATGTTCAAATAAAGCCTTTGAAATTAGTGGAATTAACTACTTTTGGAGTGTCAAAAATTTGTTGGAAGTACTTGAAAAATTGCATGCATTGGTGATTTCGAATTTTTTCAAAGTTTTGATTTTTCTACCCTATATACCACTTTGCCTAATAATCTTATTAAGAAAAAAATCATTCACCTAATTAAATGGACTTTTAAAAAGTCAGAATGCAAATATATATGTTCAAACTCTTTTCGGTCATGTTTTTAGTAACAACAAACAAAAGAACTATGCAAATTAGACCTGCTTTGATACTATAACTGCCCTTGCATTTTTAAGAGATAACATATTTGTTCGCTATGGATATCGTCGAGTTATCGGAATTGCAATTGGGGCTAACTGTGCACCACTTATTGCGGACCTGTTTCTGCATTGTTATGAGTTACAATTTATGACTGAAATCAGCAAAGACCCATCGAAACAACACCTGATACAAAAATTTAATAACACTTTTAGATATTTGAATGATATATTGGCTCTCAATAATGACTACTTCAGTATGTACACTAAAGAGATATATGCTGCTGAACTAACTTTAAATAAAGCTATTACTAACAATGAACACTGCCCATTCCAGGATCTTGATATATATATCTTTAACGGGAAGTTTAACACCAAAATTTATGATAAAAGAGATAGATTGTTCATTTCCTACAGTTAAATATCCATTTTTAGATGGTGATGTTTCCTTTTCACCATCTTATGATGTTTATATATCTCAACGTGTTCGATTCGCTCGTGTATGTATCAACATATTTGATTTTAACGTAAGAAATCTCTGTATTACTGAAAAAAATATTACACCAGGGTTTTCGATATCACAAACTAGTCAAAACATTAACTTAATTTTATCATCAGTACAAGGACATCATTCGTAAATATAAACCAACATGCAGACATCTTATACGTTCAGGTTTTTCACATCCAATCTTTTATGGTAATATTCTATAAAAAAGTACAAAAATGTCTGCAATCACCTCAAAAGCTAACCAAACCTTTAAACAGACTTATTCAGAAGGGATATAGTTATGATACTGTTGTCAGATCATTTAAGATGGCATAATTTGATACTATTATTGATTCACTTATAGGGTCTTTGCATCGGAAATAAACACATTTATTCTAAAACCAGTTGTTTGCATGATACGGGTTATGTTCTTCTCATATATTTTATATGGTATGATATTAAACCCCCAACGGGAGAGATTGTGCTTGATTTTCATATGATGAAAACATAATCTTTCAATAAGTTTAAATGAGGTCTGGAGCTGACATGTCAGTAACTGCTAGTAGTCCTTTGTTGATTTATGTATCATTGTCATTTTGTTTTGATTTTTTTTGTTACCTATTCTTACATCAGGCTTTTTCAGAATGACAACACCATTATTACAGAATTCTCATCTTCCGTTACCTATTCTGACATCGGACTCGGACTTCTTTTGAACTGAGTTTTACTGTGCGTATTGCTGTGTGTTTGTTTATTCTACATTGGCTATAAGGGAGGGTTGAGATCTCACAAAACATGTTTAACCCCGCCGAATTTTTGCGTCTGTCCCAAGTCAGGAGCATATGGCCTTTGTTAGTCATGTATGTTTTTTTAATTTTAGTTCATATTTATGTTTTGGAGTTAAGTATGACGTCCATTTTCACTGAACTAGCACACGTTTTTTGTTTAGGGGCCAGCTGAAGCCCGCCTACGGGTGCAAGATTTTCTCGCTATGTTGAAGACCCATTGGTGGCCTTCGGCTGTTTTCTGCTCTTTGGTCAGGTTATTGTCTATTTGACACATTACCCATTTCCATTCTCAATTTTATACAAAAAATAATATGTAATAATTTGGTGAACAAAAAATCGTATCTTAATGATTTATCTTTCTGACATATATAATTGATTAGAAATACCTGGTTACTGATTACGTAAAGGAAACAACCAATAATGGCACAATCTGCTTCAAAGTCCTGCGATATCTGTATGAGAGGACCAGGGCATATCTACTGTGAACAATGCGACCAATGGATGTGTGAAAATTGCAAAACTTTACATTTAAGGTCAAAAATAAGTAGAAATCATACCTTTCTTAGTGAGAAAAATATCAACCTGGAAAGAAAACTGGTATGCAAAGAACACGACGAAAAATTCATATTTTACTGCATTGATTGTGATTTACCAATATGTAAAATGTGTATCGTAAAAAAACACAAAACGCATGATACGTCTGAAATCAACGAATCGGCACAGGAATTACAGACTAAAGTGAAAAAGGTAATTGACTCGAAGATTAAATCCGTTAACACAAATCTAGACAAAATTGAACAAGGCATGGGAAAGAACCAGAGCGACATAAAGAGAGCTATTCGTGTTATTACAGAAGATGGGAAACAGATGAAGCAGTGGATTGACAAGAAAGTACAAGCCCTCATTACATCATTTGAAGAAAAAGAGACAGCAAACCTGAAGGTCTTTCAATCAATTAGAAGTGGGTTTCAAAATGATTTAGCAAAGTTCGAAAAATGTCAGACTGCCCTTACTGAGAGCCAGAAAATTGCCGATGCTACTAAACTTCTCACACAATTGAAAAATATTACATCCGAGTTAGATGTTGAAGTTGAAAAGCAGCCAGCGGTCATTCCAACTATGGAATATAACAAAAAAAATGTATCAGAACGAGAAATATTCAATCTATTTGGAGACATATCGTTCCAGTAAGTTTATTAACTCGAGACAAGTGTTGTAAGGCCAATAGTTTGTTTTTACCTATTCAGGTGATTATTCATTTACCAATGAATGACTTTTGTTATAAGTTAATATGTTTTTGGTTATAATTATACATTTGAAATTCTTTTCTCTTCGTCAAGTATCATCCGTAACTAGAGGTGACACGCAAGGCAGACGTACAATTGCATCAAGGGATAAATAAGGCAATTACACGAACAGGGAGTTACACGTGTGCATGATACACACCAATCTAATTAGAATAGCAATCCTTGTTCTATGTTCTGACAAAACTCCGTTCTACTTTCTGTTTTATTAGTAATACATACATTAGTCAATCAAATGTCTGCCTCAACATTTGTCAAGGTGTGAATCAATAAAAAAGAATCACAGATCCCCGAAGCTCTTTAAATCAGAAAGTAGACGTTGATTTATCAGATCTTTGTAAGCGACAGGTGGACATAGGATCAGTATTTTAATCATTTAGGACTCAGAATTACGAAGAGTAATGTAAATACAAAGCACTAATATCAAGAGTCATAAAGATATACTCATGAATCTGTGTAAATCAGAAACAAAAATGCACACCTACGAAAACATTGTACAAACATTTTTTTTTCTTTTTTTTATAATTTTGAATGTAATTTGTTAATATTTTATACAAAATATGTAATCAAATTTTTATTTTCTAAGGCAATAAGTAAAATAACAGTAAAATAACTTTATTCAAAATTTTGAAAGCAAGATTTCAATAATCCTGTGAAAATAATTGATTACCTTTATTTATTTAAAGTTTTAAGTTTAATATAATGTGTGTGATCACAATATTACTTCAGTTTACAATGTAGTTATATACAAATATAAAAATTCGCCTCCGAAAGGCTGTTCATATACACAAATATAAAAAAAAAGAACATGACTCATCTGTAAACTGACCAGCTGTTCTTGTTACATTAAAGATACACTTAAACTCACCAAATAGTTAATGCACACTCTGCACACGGTACACCAAATGTGTACGATAAAACATCACACGATAAATGCATAAGCTAACGCGCATAAGCTAACGCACATGGTGTACAGTGTAAAAAAAAACTGAACACAGTTAACACACCCGTTGCACACGGTATTAAAAACAAGCACACAAACACGCAACACAGCAACGCATAATATGGTTTACAAGGACACATTTTTACTTTTACTTTTTATTCTATTTTTGGTAATATCCATTTGACGTGGCTCGAAACTTATACATCCCGTTATTGTGTTATTGTGCTATGGTAAAAATTTGGAATTCTTGTCTTTCTTTTTTGCTAATTTGCTTTGTCTATTTGCCTTTTTGTTTTTCTTTGTTAACATATTTGTTTGTTTTTACAGTGATTAAGATTACACAATGTTGACTGCTGTACCCCATTTCGTTTTTTGAAATTTTTACCTGTTATGTCTGTTTGTTTTGTTCACACATCGTTGTCAATATAATGGAATTTTATGCGACTGTCATACAAGTGGGAGGTTTAGCTAGCTATAAAACCAGGTTTAATCCACCATTTTCTACATAAGAAAATGCCTGTACCAAGTCAGGAATATGACTGTTGTTATCCATTCGTTTGATGTGTTTGAGCTTTTGGTTTTTGCCATTTGCGTAGGGACTTTCCGTTTAGAATTTTCCTCGGAATTCTGCATTTTTGTTATTTTACTTTTTCGTTAGTAAACGAATAGTATTACGCTGTATACGACACAATAAATGCACACACAAGCAAAAGGTATATAAAATATGGTAAACGCACATGCAGTATACTGGAAATAGTTTTATGAAAATATTTTAAAGTATGCATAATGGTTTTTAGCGTGAAAGATTAAATGCGTTTTCATTTTACACCATGAACTCATATTATTGTGGTACGAGGAGAAATATGACTACCGATAAATATTTGCCTGTTTTTTTTTTTTCTTCAGAGAAATAGTTTACAGTGTAGAGCAGACGCCAAAGAAAGAGACCAGGTATTTCCCTTATATTTACAAGATGCATCCTACTTTCATAGAAAAAAAGTCCTTTTGTTATGTGCTTGGTTTTGGGATATTCACAATAAACTTTAAACAACATATGGAACGTAACAATGCGTTTCAATATGCAATTGACGAAATAGCTACACTGATGTTGAGATCATGCATAAAGCGTCATTTTCAGTTGTTTGCATTAATATAATAAATTGAGAAACATGACACTCCACCATATACAAATTGGAACTAAGCAAGGTGCTTTGGAAGTGCTAGCAGTTTCTGCTCCACTAGTGACATCAGTCATATTGTAACTGAGAAGTAACTAAAATAAATAGCAGGTATAAATGCGTCACTAAATACAACATTCAAATTAATGCATGTTTTATAATTATTATTTCATATTTATGTCTTGCAGTTGGGCGTGATGGTATAGGAGCTAATTTAATATGTTTATGAATGTATTTTCAAATAATGCATTTGATACATAAAACAGTGGTACTTTGTAGATTATATCCATATCTGTATATAAGCTTATTCAATGACTTTCATTCGTAGATAGTAGAACAGGCACCTCTCACTTTGTACAGAGACATTAGTCCACTAAATATTTGATAGAGTTTCTGATGCTTAGTCTTATGCTTTTTAAGGGAGAATTTTTGTTTACTGTTGTTTCCCATTTCTTTTTACTCATTGTATCATCTGTTCCTCTTCGACTGATTTATCAAGATTGCCCAATTCATATATTATTTACTTGCTCGTAAAATATGAAATATCAAGATTTGTGAACCAGTCTACCCTTATAAAGGTATAGGGGAGGGTTGAGATATCACAAAAAATGTTTAACCCCGCCGCATTTGTGCGCCTGTCCCAAGTTAGGAGTCTTTGGCCTTTGTCTTTATCCTTGTATGTTTTTCAATTATAGTTCATGTATTTGCTTTTGAGTTTAGTATGTCGTCAATTTTGACTGAACTTGTACACATTTTGTTTAGAGGCCAGCTGAAGCCCGCCAGCGGGTGCGGGATTTTCTCACTGTGTTGAAGACCCATTGGTGGCCTTGGCTGTGTTTTGCTCTTTGGTCGGGTTGTTGTCTCTTTGACACATTCTCAATTTTTATTCTCAATTTAACAAAGGTCTTTACTTTACAAAATGATACATGACATTGCATAATTAAAAGACATATCATTTTTTTTTTATTATAATCATTATTCTTACCCACAACTGTTGCAAAAGTATCCGTACTGTGTGTTTGTTGGCCGTTTTGAATTGAGTTATACAGTCTTCTTATTTGTGTAAGTTTCAGTCCCTGTATAAATCATTTGAATTTAACAGTTGGGTATGTTTATTACAACGAAGTTGTGAATTGCAACATGCAAGAAACGTAGTAGAACTTTTCATTAGAGATGAAATGAATTGTACATGTACGGACATTATGTGTAAATCATTGTGTGACATAAATCATAAATATTTGAACAACTATTGCAAAACACACACACACACATTTTGATATGCGTATTAATCGTTTTATTTTTTTACAGTTTCTCTGTCATCAGTTTTTATTTCCATATCTCCGATTTCAGAGAAGAGCCAACAAAGACACTGTACGGATACTTTTGCAACAGTTGTGGGTAAGAATACAGTTTTATTTAGGTTAAATGTGGGAAGATGTTTGGATAAACCACAGTGTTTTGAGAAACGATCCCTTCCAAGAATACCCGTTATCTAAGTTAGTCACAAGAAAAATATTGTAAAACGTAGGGGAAAAACACTGCACAACACTTACTTATTAAAACAGAATTATGAGATGATACCAGATGGCAATAACCTAACAAATAGATTAATTCTAAGAAAACATGATTTAGAAAACCATGAAATCACTTTCAGACAGATACAAGGAAAGAAAATGACTCAACGAAAAAACAATGATGGGGGAACAGGGTCTGATAACAACAGAAAATGAGAGAAAAGGAAGAAAATTACAACAAATATCTCATTTGTCATCGCAATGATTAATTCTAATCAAGTGCACTAAATACGAAAGGAAAGAATATGTTTTTCAAGATTATATGTATTCCTATGCATAATAATTTAACCCGAAATAATAGATGATGAAATTAATTAGAAGAATCAAATTCAACAGTACATATTGAAATATATTCAATCAATCTTTAGAAACTTCATTCGAATAAAGTACTTTTACCAAAACTACTTTTGTATTCATTTCCAGGAGAGAAAAACTTTCTGAGTAAGTATGAATACATAATTACAACTACCTATTGAACATCGATCATTCATTAATTGTGACCAATTAAAAAAAGAAATGTTTTGTTAGTGTATTTTATCCATTACAGTACTATGTGTTCACAATTTGGCATTCATTGTTTGTAATGTTTGTGTTTATAATGACTTTAAGTTATATAAACATTTATTTTGCCTAAAGTTGATGAACATAATTGGTTCTTTTACTTTCTGTCGCTTTAATCAAGGAAAATGATATAAGGCCTTATTTCAGAATACAGTATTAACCATGCAAACTACACATATTAAGAATAAAAAGATTTACAGAAGAGGTGTGTTTTAAAATTGTTTTTTATGTAGACATGCTTTCGTTTAAAGATAAATAATATGTGGCAAATCCGAAAATGAACAAAATATGTATCTGGTCTTACTGATGACCATCTGTTGACTATATAAAAAGGTTGATTTCTATTGAAAACTTATACACCATTATCTTTATGAAAAGATGACTTAATGATCAATCAGTGAAGCAGCGTGATGTTACAGTTTCAAGTTCATTCAGGACAAAATATAGTGGAATAAATATCAAATAAAAAAATAACATAACCTTCTCATAAGTTATTACGGTTAAAAGTATTATGATTGTAGTTTTATTATGCATTTTGTTTTGTAGAGAAAAACCTATGGAGTGAGTATACATTTATAGTATGTAAGCCTACATGTACCTATTCAGTTAAAACATATAATTGACTTTAAAATCTTCAGTTCCAATTAAAACTACTGTAAACGTGCATACATTTTTGTTTATAACTTTCTGGGATAGGTGAGTTTAAGATAATGTGAAGTCGTATAGAATAGAAAAATGTAAACTTCTTCCCAATGCAACACTTGTCATGTGTTAATGGTTAATCTACAGGAATATGAATACGGAGATGTGGTATGAGTGCCAATGAGACAACCCTCTGTCCAAGTCACAATGTATATAAAGTTAACATTTATAGGTCAAAGTATGACCTTCAACACAGAGGCCTTGGTTCACACCGAACAGCAAGTTATAAAGGGCCCCAAAATTACCAGTGTAAAATAATTCAAACAGGAAAACCAAAGGTCTTATTTATATAAAAAACGAGAAACGAGAAACAATTATAAATTACATCTACAAACGACAACCTCTCAACAACAGGCTCCTGACTGTATATATCATCTGCTCGCAAAGGTGATTTCTACATGACTATTTAGCACCATTGCCATGCAATGGTTACAAGTAATCGTTTATATTTATCTTATGATTTGCATTACACAAGTTAATAAAGGCCACTTTGACACATCCTGTGTTTTTATTCGATACTTAAAGTCATGAAACCAGGATTCAGTTTTTGTAAAATATTGCATATCATATCTAGTATTATAGCAATTCGTGTTATTGAATCTGATACAATAATGTCCTATAACAAGTAATAAAAGATTAAAGAGTCCAAAATACAAACAAAACATGCTGTATTGATGTTGAGGTTTTGGAACTATTAATAAGGTTGCGTTGTGGTTAACTTCGTTGAACCTTACACACATGTGTACAAAACTGCATGTTCTTTTAGAAATATTTGTCCTATCTTTTTTTTTTTTTTTTTTCTTAGATATTATGATATAGAGCATATGTTCAATGGTTAATCAGTCTGTGTCATACAAAACGTTATTTTGTACAGACATGTTTAGAACTTTGATTTGTATTCCAGTAAATGCTATATGTTTTATTATTGTAGAAATATAATTTTTTTTTTTTCAAATGAACTACCAGCGTTTATAAATAACGTGCATTATTTGACATATTAACATTTTCAACTGAAGTAACACAGGGAATTTCAATATTAGTGTCTTCTTTACCATGTTTACATGGGTTTTTGGTAGTGTTAATTTGTCACATGAACATATTTCTGTGTAGCATTAACTTGTGTTTGTCAGTAAGTATTTTCTTAGATGTCTATCATTCTTATACATATTAGTTTAATCTCATATCTTCTCTCATTTGGTTATATGTATAGACAATTGTTGTCTCTTTCAAGTTAAAGCTATTTGCCATTGTATTCATATATTAATTATGAAGTTCCTTGTCATACCAAACTAACTATAAATCCCATTAAATAATTTCATCATATAGTAATATTATGTAAATGTCACTAAAATAATGTACTCATCAGGATTAACATAATGAAATTGTGTAATTCAGAGTTTTACAATCCACTTCATCTGGTGTTGATACTTTTTCTGTGTATTGCCGTGTTCTGATGGGCTGTCTCATTTACGTAAATACTGTATTGTTTTATCGTCATGCATATTTGAAACGTTGTACTTATAAGTATTATCAGTTTATTTTTGCATGTATTTATAGATTTATATCAAAACCGAACAGTCTATACTTTTAATTCAAATTAATATCACCATTATATCATTTGTAAATATTTTACAGTACTGTTTGTTACATGTACTTGTACTCTTATAGCTAAAACGAACTGATGATTTTCATTACACATGACGTGTTTTCTATTTCAGTCATTATATTGCGTAAGTATCGCAAATATTGAAAATCTTAAATATTCAACGTTTAACGAATTTCATACACATATTTTTTGACACCTAAACATTTTTCTTTGGTAATTATTAGTAGGTAATTTCATCACGTGTAAAATGAAAACCGACACGTTCAAAATGTTATATTTGCATATAACATACAAAATACAATTTCCTTGTAGATTGTATGGTTTGAAAAT